TTTATATGAATAAATATACCACTAATAATTGTTTTTATCTTTAATTGCAGGTTAATGAAGAATAAATCTCAAAACTCTCATCTCTTAACAAAAAGCCCTTGATTTAATGAAGAAATGAAGCAAAAAAGCCCATTGGAAAATCAATTGCCAAATTATCCAAAAGGCCAAAACCAAAAGAAGGAAAAATGTCAAAGCCCAAAAGAAGAAAAGAAAAATATATCAAAAGCCCAAGCCCAAAAGCCAAGGAGAAGAGGAAGCTGCGGGCTGAAAAAGGAGAAGGCTGGGTATCGTATCGATGCCAGCATCGATACCCGTATCGATGCCAGCATCGATACGGTGAGGCCAGCAGATACCCGTATCGATGCCGGCATCGATACGGACGTACAGTTTGTTACGAATCTAAGGCTAAAATTTGTTATTTTTGGATAAGATTTCAATCCAATTGCTCTCATTCACTGATGTTTACTATAAATAGGGGTAGAGAGTGAGGGGTTAGAGGTGTGAAAAAATTTGTAATTCCATTTGAATAGGAGGATTACTCTTAATTGAGAAGACCTTCCAAAAAAAATTATAACTTTTGTTGTAATTAATAATAATAATTTTTTCTCCCATTTAAATTTGTCTTTTCTCCTCTTTGTTGAATGATGAGGATGGAGATGAAGAGCAAATTAAAGGTTTGCATTTCTTTTCTCTATTTCTTTTCTCTTTTATTTCTTTTTAGTAATTTCTTTATTATTGCTTATTAGTTAGATTTACATTCATGCTTGTAGTGTAGATTTATTTTTTTGTCTTTTTATTTCTTTTTGTACTTTATTTTGTAGAGTAGATTTATTTTCTTGAATTTAATTTTTACAATTTATTTTGTAACTTAGATTTTAATTCTTTGTAGTTAGATTTATTTCTTGTTCATAGTTTAGATTTTTTTTTTTTTTTTTTGTAATTAGTTATTTTTCTTCTTGCTTTTATTTCTTAAGATGTGAAATTAATTCTTGTAGGAATCTTAGAATTATATGAAACTAGTCTAATTTCTTTTATATTGTATGAATTATTCACTTTCACTTAAAATATTCATGTTTAGGATAATTAACTAGAGAACTAATTGGTAGAAGAAGAATTTGATAATCTATGCTTATCTTAAATGGTTTGATAGGTTATGCTTATGAATTCTAGGATTATTATCATGTTGTTGTTCTTATCATGAATAGTAATTTTGACTTAGATGATAATTTGATAGGTTATACTTTCCTTAAATGGTTTGATAGTCTATGCTTAATAAATCTAAGTTGAAATATGATAAAAAGAGAATAGTTTGTATTTTGTAATTGAGATTAGGTAGTGGATTAAATTCTAGATTTCTCATATCTTAATTGAATCCTCCATCTTGACTTTCTTAAATTTTCTTTTCATTCTTGATTTTAATTCTTGATTTTATTCATTCTTCTTTCTTGCCTTATGATTTCATTTATTCTTTGATTCTTATTTCTTTTCTCTAAAATTCAATTTATTGTCTCTTGTATATATTCACAACAATCACTCATCATAATCACACATATTCTTTAATCTTATTTTATCACGCACACAACATAAGAACCTATTCTAATAATTTCTTAAAATCACCTTCCTCGTGGGATCGATAACTTTTTATACTATAACTTGATCAATGATTCTAATAATTTCTTAAAATCACCTTCCTCGTGGGATCGATAACTTTTTATACTATAACTTGATCAATTGTGCACTTGCAATAACTTTTTATACTATAACTTGATCAATTGTGCACTTGCAATTTTGGTACATAATTATGCCGCATCAGGCGGCGACGACTGTTGTTATATCCCTTCAAACTAATGGTGGACCGAACACCAAGAGTTTGGATAAGAAGAGCCGATATTTGCAAAAGACATGCGTCTGAGAGTCGATGAAAGAGTCTTAACTGTGGTGACAAAATCGATAATATATGATGTAATCCAGGAGCATCGATAAGAGAAACCCAACGGCTGTATGATCGATCGGGTAGGATAGGAATTCTAGAGCATCGATGGAGAAGAACTCAATGTCGACGAGATGAACAACAAGGATAGTAATCCTTATTGATACGAGTTGCCGTGCGAGCACCTTTGATCGCGGAATTATCAAAGGTGGGTAGAGGAGAAAACAATAAGAACACAAGAATAACTCAGGTTTTGGGCGAAGGAAAATACCTTCTCTAGATTATGAGTATGCAATTTACAATCCCTCACAATCTCACTCTAGAATTGAAGAACATGCTCTCCAAATCTCAATTACACTTTTAATCTCTCTTGATTAAACTCTCTGATTGTTTAGAAACCCTAAAACAATCCTTTATATAGGTGTACAAACGTGGATGGCAATTTGGTAAATAACCAGACCCAAAACCAACAGGAATTCGTGTGAACAGAAACCCAAACGAACCAGGAAACCATCGATGAGTCGACTCATGACTGAGATGAGTCGACTCGTCAGAAACTGGACAAAACTCAAAAACCAGCGATGAGTCGACTCATGACAGTTATGAGTCGAATCAACCTGATGAGTCGACTCGTGACTGTTATGAGTCGACTCACAGGCTGAAAACTGGATACTTCGATTCTTCTGCTAGTCATCTCGTTCCACGCTTCCTCCTGCGTTCCCTTGTACTGTTTGACACCTCTATTCTCATGTTATCATGAGAATCATCTATCCTCAAGCTCCCATGAGGATCGCTAAGTTCCGAAGAGAAGATACACCCGTATCACTTATACATCAATAGAGAAATTTGTAGTGGCAACAAGATCGAACGACGAGGGATAGAAATCATTGTACATCGACGGAGAGGATACTGATAGTCAATGTCGAGACTGTGAAGAGGAGAAGCTCGTTGCGAGGAAAATGTCAATAGTTGTTGTTGAGGCCGTGAAGAAGATATCTCGCATAAAAGAAAGAGACCCGAGTCTTAGCTGAAATTCCGAATGTGACGGCAATGGGTTTTAAAAGGGTCACCGATATGAATGAGCAGCTCGATTGAATGCCAAGAGGCGTACCGATGTTTAATAGAACATTGAGGAGAAGCTCGACATGCATGAAGTCCATAAAGAAAAAAAAAACAATTCGCCAGTATCCCAAATGGTGAATAGGAAGCTTAGGCTTGTTGAAATTGAGATGATAGGATACGAATAGGTGTTGAGCAACATGGGTGTCGGTAATCTACTACTCTATACAAACGGAAGGATACAAGAATTACTATTCATTCTATAGTAATTCTCTTTCCTCTCCCCTCTCTTCTCACCGCGTTATTAGGGGGGATTATTGGTTGAGACATTTTGGGGGATAATGGGATAATTCTGGGGATTCTATTTTAAAGTGTTATTCATTGGGACAATGATACAAGGATAATACCTTTTTGTGTTATTGGTTTTTTAGAACACTAGTGAGACAATTACACCACTTGGGATAAAATTACCCCTCATATACAAAATTTTTATCCTAATAGTAAAACTTACCCCATCCTCCATATTGGAACAATGTTATTCCACTTTGAAGGCAATTGGGATAATTTTAAAATATTTTTGTATTACTTAACTAATACATGCTAATTATATTATAAATATATGACATGATATATAAAATATAACATATATTAATATTTTAATAACATAATTTAATAAAATATATTAATAATATTATATAATGGTAATTATAGTATAATGTTTTATTATAATATTATATAATATTTTAATAACATATATTAATAATATTATATAATAACATATATTAATATTTTAATAACATATATATAATATTTTAATAACATATATTAATAATATTATGTAATATATTATTATATAATGTTAATTAGTACATTATATCCTATGATACTATATTATAATATATTAAATTAAATAATATATTATTAAAGTATTATATTAAATATATTATTCATATATTATATCAATTATTATATAATGTAGCATACTAATATAATGTTAATTAGTAATTATTGTATAACATATTATATTTTTGTATAAATAAAATAATGTATTATATTAAATATTATATTATTAAAATATTATATTAAATATATTGATATTATATTATATTAATTATTATATATAGTATAGCATGCTAATATAATATAATACAATACAATATAATAATTAATAATAGTAATTTGTAAGTATAGTACAATATATTATATTTTAATATAAAGTAAAATAATATTTATATTATAATAATATACTAAATAATATACTAAACCAATTGGATAAGTTAATTTAGAAGTAATTAATAGATAAAATTATATTTTAATAAGGTGCCACATCATCAATTATCCCACATGAATTATCCACAATTATTTTGTCAAATCAAAGGCTCCAATTAATCTTATTATCCATTTATTCCATTTACCCCACTCAAATATCCCCAAAGACGTAAAATTATTCAATGGACAATTTACCCCATCTCTCAGGATTCACCTCCCACCCTCACTCTCACAACTCCTTCAAGATTTCAAAAGATGCTTTGCTACAGGGACCCAAAATATGGGACGGCGAAATAAAGGGGACAAGTGAGGTGTCTGCCCTCGTTCTAATTGGATAATGAGTTAGCCATCATTAATGATGGCCAACTCCATTATGCCCAAATAGGAGAGAAGACAGCCTGCACTTGTCCGCCTCTGAATTGGGTCCATATTTTGGGTCCTTGAGGAATTTTTCATATTCAAAAATGCCCACCTCTCTGCACAATGCCTCCCCCCGGCCCGACCCGTCCCCCCGCCACCCGCCCGCACACCACACGCACGCACGGCACGCCTCACTCTCTAAATTCTTTTCAATCTTCATACTACCAACATCTGCTCTCAGAAATTGCCCGCTTTCTCTCAAATCCCGCGCACCACTCTCAAAAGGCCAGCGATCGCGCACCCACACCGCACGCGCCACCCACAACGCGCCGCCTCGAAGCCGACGACCAGCTCCACGCCCACCACCGCCCAGCCTCCCATCCCCGCCGCCGCCGGCCGCCGTCACTGATCCTCCCTCGAATCGAAAGGTAATTTCTCGCAGGATCTAGGAAGCAAATTTCGGCCCGTTCGAAGCCGACGAGGATGTGGAAGACGGTAAGCTTTTGGTTCTTTTTAGGGATTCTGGCTCTTTATTGTTTTCGTTTGGTAATTTTCTTAGATATTTGCTGAAATTGAAGAAATTTTGGTGATTTAGGGCTTCATTAGAGACTATGCACAGAGGGAAAAAAATAGTTGGTTCGGGTGTTCTATTGTTTCTAACTGAATCTGCAATTATAATTGTTGGAAATTAGGGTTTCAGTCCTTTTAGTTAATTTTGATGAATTAGTTTCTTTTTTTTTTCTTTTTTGAGCTGAATTGAGGAAATTAGGGGTGGAGGACTTTGTTAGATAGTATTTGCACATACAAGAGGGGAAACTTGAGTGAGTTAGGGAGGGTTAGATTTGTTTCTAACTGTATCTGCAGTGATGATTGTTGAAGATTAGGGTTTTGTTCTCTTGCAAGTGACACTATTTATCAGTTGTGTGCTTTAATTTTACATTGATTGCTGATGGTTTCTATATACTATTAAAGTTGGGAAGTTTTACATTCCTTGCTAAGTTTCTGGGATGGTAGTTATATATTAAATTTGCCTATTGAGTGAATAAGAACCCCGAATGGCATATGATAAAGGAAAAGATAGTGAAAGCAAAGACCTTTATGAGAGCAATGTGAGGTAGAATTGAGAATTTAAGAAACAAGAATGAATTTGGGGGAGATCGGAGTAGTAGGAGGAAGTTCTTAGTTGCTCATTCTCTAATCATATATAATTTTTAGGATGGATTCAGAGAAAGAGAGCTTATTATGTTTACATTGCTTTTTTCCCATGTGAGTGCTCATCTTTTGTTACAGTTTTTTTTTGATTTATTTTTAAATGCCTTATATATATATAATTTTTTTTCATTTAAGATACTTATACTCGATTGACGTCTCACAATTAGTAGGGTAAGAAGGTTGAAGGAGAGGAGAGAGAAAACATTGATAAAGATTTTAGTTGAAGAACATGTAAAGGAAAAATGATTTTCTGTTTTTCTCTAATGAAACCTGTTTAATGAGTTATCTTGCCACTACGTGTTTAAAGGCATTGCTTCTGTGTTGATGCAACATTTATTACAACATGTTATATTGTTATGCATATTTGTAGGGAAGTAGTATACTTTTCATTTTGATGCATGATCTATATATTTACCACTTCTTTTGGTCAGTCATGATGATGATGGTCTATTGTGGATCTAAGGTTACCTAAGGTGCACTTATTCTAAAGGAAGAGCAACTACAATCACAATGTCATCATAATCCTGTTTCTCTGTCCTCTACTTCTACTCACTTTCTTCTCATTTTTTGGGTACTACTTTGTACTCTTAACAGGTGAGGGATGAACTTGAACATCTACTGGATGATGACATGGATATGGCAGAGATGTACCTTACGGAGAAGCTTATGTCTAATTGAGTTGGCGAGATGTCTTCGAGAGGGGATCTTGACAATGATGGTTCTGAAATGGATGAAGAGAGGTAAAATACCTAGATTTTTGGAGAGATTTAATTATCTATGTGGCAATGAAGATGTTTTAGGCAAATTGTGATATTGCAAGCATCATTTGGAACTTTTTCTTGAAGTTCTGCTCACTAATCGTGTCACTAAAATATAGGGCGAAAAGAGCTGTTTCTTTGTGGACCTAAGATCTAAATTAAATAAACCATAGGACCTGTTAGACCTGGACTATGCATGCAATTGGAGTTCATTACCTATAGAAAAATTAATTATCATTTAATTGATATAATTTTCTGTATGAACATGAGGGGAAGCGTTCACAATAAAATGCCTTCTCTAGAGAGTAGAAATTATGATGATTCACACCATGCACGTTTCAGCTTAAATAGAGACAAAATTTTACAAAGAAACGGACACACTAAGAACAAAGTCTTTATGACAAACTTTTTGGGTTGATCACAAGAATTTATTATTCCATTCGGTAATGAAACGGTCAGCTCCCATGTTAGTTGAACTGTATAGGCATATGAAACTTTTATTACCAGGACATGTATTTCCATACATAAAGAGTATCCTTATGGAAATATGAACATAATAATAGTTTCTTATGTTCACTAAACATCCAATATGCACCTATTTTACCTTGATTCCCTACTTTATTAACCTAACCACGTCAGCAATACGGTTCAATACTTCGATAAATTTGGTAAAAATATAAAATTGAAATTTATAAAAAATCTTTGAATAGGTTATTGTGCATGAATACTAATCAGGATAAAGAATATATTTGTGCTTATATGAAAGGAAGTGAACACGTAGAATTCCAGGAGAACAACTTGAGCATTATTTAGTTGTGGATTCACATATAGTTTCCTATGAACATTATTAGAAGATGACTAAGAAGCATGCATTTTATGTGATGATGAACATTCAGTACTGGAAAGCTTGATCCTACGACAATCATTCTAGAAACATAACTAGCATGGTTAAAAATAGCATCCAACCCAAGAAAAGGGAAAAGCACATTGCTAGGCCCTTGCATTTGTTGTTGAATTATTGGCAATGGATAAAGGTCAATCTTCGTTCTCACATGATGCATTACTTTCATTCAAATTTGTAAGTTCAAAGCGCAAGGCACAGTGCTGAGAACTTATGAGATGATTTTTTGGGTACAACTTATGTTTTTAGTAATTATTTAATTCTTGATGCTGTTTGATTTTCTAATGTGTAATATGTCATATATCTTCAGAGATGAAAATTTTAAAAATGAGACAGAGAACAACCATGGAAGTTATATTGGTTTCAACCCTTGCATTGAAGAATTGGAGATGCTCTTAGAGGCCTACTTTATGCAGATAGATGGTACCTTAAACAAACTTTCCTCTGTAAGTTACTCTTCTTTTTATACAAGCATCTTCATCAATGTTAAATATCCTTATTTTAAGCTCACTTATTCAATAAAGTTTTAGTATTTATGAAATAAGAGGAGGACAAGGAGAAAATTATATAGAAATAATGTAAAGTGCACAAGGCTCCAGTATTAGACCAAATTCAACGTGTACTATCTAATTGTGTGGGTGGCATCAAATAAACTCAATAGATTTTGCTATTGAACACAATCTAATTGTTGACATTGAGATAGTTTATGCACACAAAGCTGTGAAGAGACTTGATAGGGGATATTAGATATTAATTTATTAATGATGTGACTAACACAATCTTAGGATAAATTGAGTATTGTGAGAAATAAGTTTGTTTGATGCTTTACACTTGGATCTACTCCTCTATACTTATAGGAGGATCATTCACTATTCATACATAGTAAAAACTTCTTTTAGCATGATGAAGATGCTAATTTCTATTTATAATGATTAAATTTGATTTAGCTAATCTTAATAGTGCCTAATTCTAATCATATCCCTACCCCTTATGTTTAAACTTGATTTAGGTAATCTCTTTTGCTGTTTTTAATGAAGATTTGGTTGCTAAGTTTTAATGGGTTTTGTTTGTTCGTGGGTTAGGGATTGGAGATTGATTATGTCAGAGATGATGATGGATGGATCGAATCGGAGGGTCAACTCGGTTCATCATAGTTATGAAACAGTAATTTCACTTTTCAATTTTCAATTTTAAATACATATTTTCACACATTTATGCACTGAAAAGATTGACCTTTATTGTGCTATTTCGGTTTCAGTTTTGAGTAGGTATTTAATCTTTAGATTTGGTTAATGATGGCTAGGGATGATATAACCATAAAGATAAAAACTAAAGTTTCTAAATTTCGTCAATAACAGTTAAGGATCATTTTTAGAAATTTTGGAGGGCTTTTATTGAGGAGAAAATGAAGATTTCTTCTGCCACAGTTGGCGAGAGAATATACAGATATGTGCTCAGATCTGAATATTTCCTCTAAAGTAATGAACTATTGATATGTGCTCATATCTGAAGATTTCCTCTGTCAAAATTTTGTTCATTTTCTATTTATTTCTCTTTAACATTAATAACGAATCTTTGAAAAGGCACATTACTAAAGAGTATTATACTTAGCTGATGATTTATAGTAGTGTATTTTAATATTTGATAAATATTTTTTTGGACAGGTCAATTATCATATTCTATAATTTTTCGCTTAGAATCAATGATAGAGAACTTCTATGGTTTTCAGGTCATGGAGAAGGTCGTTAAGAAGATCTCGGAGTAGGAAATTTCCTCGCCTAAATAATCTAAGACCCCGTTTAAGCTTGCAATAGTTCTATTTCAGGTTTTGCTCTTATTTCTCTTCTTTTTACTGGCTTTGTTTCTTTTTTTCCCTAATGATAAATATATGATTTTATAATGTTTGTCTTTAAGGCACGATATAGTTAAGAGGTTAGTTTGCATTATTTTGTATGATGAAGTAAAATATGCATCAAGAGATAACTCATTCGTAAAAATTCATGATTGGTTGTCACTCAAGTGACTGACTCATGAATATATGTTATATTGAATGTAAAGTTTTGTTGCTATATTGTTTTATTAGGCCATTATGTGTGAGTTGTTGGAGTACTATTGTTATATTTGCACCATACAATATTATTAGGCATCTATTTTTCAAATGCAACTCATTTGAAATTCTTCATAGTTGCTAGCTGTAGGAATCAGTTTGTATAAAAATAAAATTGAGATAAAAAAACATTAGAAAATTGCAACTTAATTACATGTAAATGCAACATAATGCTCTATCCTTTATCTAACGAATTTTCTCAATTTACTACTTATAGTTGAACCCTCAAATAATATTTTTATTATTTTTTGAAAGTGTTTCCCCTTTCAAAATTGGTTATAATTGAACCCTTTTATTCATTCTATTTTACCCTTTTAAAACTAAGAGGAGGGGCGTTCCAAGTGCAATGGTAGAAAAGAGGCGAGGACCGTGCTTGGCATGGGGTACATACTAGTGTTGTGGAATACCTTGTTGAGAATTAACTTTTTTTTTGAATAAAGGATGGCCTGAAGATGGGCTTGAAGGTTAGACTTAGATAATAGGCCAGTCTCACGATCTCTCTCCTCCTACCAAATCTCTGATCCTTAAAATCTCATCAAGCCGCTCTGGGGACTTCGATTCGATCGCGATCGCGTCGGCAAAATCGAGAACCCGGATCGCCGATCCGCGACAAGATTCGGTGAGGGTTGAGATCGGCTATCGAGGAAAGGTTCGAGAAGATCCGATCGCAAAGGAGGCGCTCGCTGGGAAAGTGGACGCGAACGGAGAGAGTGACGCCTCGAATCCACCGCTGGATCTCGTCTTCTAGAAGACTCAAGGAAGTTGAACGGATCTCTTCGCCGGTTTTAGGGTGGAGGTCGAGGCCAAGCCGCCTCTGTGAGAGAGAGGGAGCGAGAGAGATCATGTGGCTGCTGTAGATGTTGAGTTCTGCTGCTTCGTCGAGCGGCGGTGGAGAACAAACAGTGGCGACGAGCGGCGACGAACGACTGACCAGCGGCGGCGACGAGATCTGGCAGGTTTTGGGCTTTTGAGTGAAAAGACCCGGAAAAGAGCTGGATCGGTTTTGGCGAAAAAAATACCAAACTTCACGGGGGACTTGCAGTCCGGTGAAGTTTTTTACATAACAAAACTTCATAGTACTTCACGGGACTTGAAGTCCCGTGAAGTTTTGTTATGTAAAAAACTTCACGGGACTTCAACACCCGTGAAGTTTCGGATAATTTTTCGTCAAAACCGACCCAGTTTCAGCTAGATGGCTAAAACTGAGTCGGTTTTGACAAATAAGATGCAAATGGGTCGTTTTTTATAAATAAGTTTTAAAAAGAGTTTGTTGATGTTGATTATCATATATATATATATATATATATATATATTGTAACTGATCTGATAATCAACATCAATATCAAGTTCTTCAATTTCAACTTAACATGGTATCAGAGCAAGTCTTACAGCTTTAGGCACACCACATATATACTATGTAGCACGGACACGGATCCGACACGGCCATCCGACACGAGGCAAATCCTAAAAAATACGTAGGATACGTGTGTTCGACACGTGTGTCCGACACGGACACGACACGGCTTCATGTTATGCGTGTCCGTGCTTCATAGTATATAAAATCAGTAGCTTAGTAGTAGGCACAGTAGGTGGCGGCTAGGAGGCGGGCTAGGAGGTGGCGACGGCTGTTGTTATCTAATATAAACAAATAATTATGTCCTTGTAATCAATATTATAAAGGGCTTGGTCATCTGAGTAGTGATATTTACTTGGTTTTATACAGGTTAGTTCATTTTCTTTTCTAACTTAATGATTTCTGCTTGTTTTTGTTTTAAACATGACTAACATCGCTAAAGCTAATACTTGCTACACTACACTGTGATTCTCAACAGAGAACTAATATTGCAAACAAGTCAAAAATAAAAATAAAAATAAAAATAAATTATACAACAGATGTGAATTGTTTTGACCACAACAATAATGTAATGCTCTTAATTCTGGTGCTCAACCGAAAGGTTGAGATGTATAAATCAATAATTGACAGAAATTTTGAAGAATGTTGAAGACGTACAAATCAATGTCCTACGTGTCATCGGCTCTATCGATCATTCGCTTTCATTTGGTTGCACTTGCTACTACTACAAAAATAAATGCGAGGGGTACGTGTATATACCAACGACTATTAGAATTATATGGCAGTAAGATACTATGAATTATCAAATAATATGTGTAATTCATCTAATATTACACTTTTTCCCCCTCTCGCTCAGGTGTTCTCTCTTCTGGTCTCAGTTTGGAGCAAATCTATTTGAGATATGGTAGCCTTAGGCACTGGAACTCCCCAAACCAAGCTCTCGGGGATTTGTCACAAGCCAATTAAGCGAAGGTCATTATCAGGCAAAAAAATGTTTTTTTAATAAACTTATTTTATCATTCTTTTCACTTATTCTTCCATTTCAACTTATTCAATGAACATGAATTGTCATTTCTATTTCTTTTTCCAGGTTATTTCATAGGAGTCAGGTTTCGAAATGTGATATTGTATCTGCATTTCACAGTTCAGACAGAGAGCACCACCACTCACTCTCTTATAATGCATCGTCTCTATATATTCCATCTAAAGATAGAAAATTTTTAGGGAAATCATCTTACTCCTCTGAAGCGTGCTCTTCTGATGAGAACATGGTTGGAGCTTCTTCGACTACTGCACGTGAGAAGGTTGGAGTGCTGTTGCTGAACCTTGGAGGCCCAGAGACCCTTCAGGATGTGCAGCCGTTTCCGTTTAATTTATTTGCAGACCCAGTATGTGATCAAATTCTAATTTGCCAATAAATCACTTTTGTTTCTTGCTTTATGGCTTTTTTTAATTACTAATTTACCGATCTGATTTTTATTTCATCTGTTAAAATTGTGCATCTATATAGTAAGAGAGGGGTCCTTTTTTGTTTCTTGTATATATGACAGTTGATGTTCCGTTGGCTCTTCTTTCCTTTTATTCTCTTCATTTTTTAGTGCGGCTTGGGTAAGAAGTTGGTTTTAGGTGAATTGAGAAGTGGAGTGACAAGGGAAAGTTTTATTTTGGAGTCATGAAATTGGATTCTGTACTAATAGAAGTTTTAAGCTATAAGCATGCTATATTTTAGAATCTAATTTGACTTTCAACCTGATGGGAGCTGAATTTGACTTCTAACCTGATACTTCAAATCTACTTCGACGTGTAACCTGATAGGAATTCAATTTTCTTCCTAAAGATAGAAATACCAGGTAAAAGTATACTGGAACCAAACTGAATCAACCCAACAAACACTTCGGACCTTACTGGAACCAACATAATTTAGAATGCTTTACTAAGTCTGTACTAGAATTTTGAATGCCTCCCGAGCGACTAACAAACAATTTTTTTGGTGCATATTTCTTAAATTTGGTTTTTTAGAATTGTGTGTATGCATATTTCTTAAATTTGGTTGAGAGGTTGGTACAGACTGCGAAAGAGGATAATGAAAGGTTCTTGCTAAAGCTCAGGAATCGAATGGAGCGGTAAAGATTAGATTTGGAATTGAGTTTTGTTTGTTTGTTGTTTTTTTATTGATTGGGTAATTTTTTTGGTGTTTTGAGGTTGGGATTGATAATCCAACGATTGAGTTCCGATTCGAGCATTTGAACATTGATGCAAAGGCATTTGTGGGGAATCAAGGACATACCTGAACAACATCGAAGACAACACCAAATGTAAGAACATGTTGAAACAAAATGCAGTTTGTTCCTTCTTGCTACTGTATCATTTGATTTTGTATGTATAAAAAAGATATAATCTTATTTGTTGTGCATTTGTTTATTAAACTTGAAAAGAAGAATCCTTACTTAGGTTAACTTTTTTCTTCTGACCCAATATTGTATAGTGAGCATTTATTTTTGTGATGCTCCTACTGCACATAGAAATACCTGGACGACCATTCTGACTTGAAACTAACTTTCTTCGATATCTTCAAAGCAGGAAATAAGTTGCCTATAAGTGTTGAATAGATTTGTGTAGTAGGCTAGTGTCCAAATTACACTAATTTTAGTGTAAGGTTTTGGCCGTTCTTTGTATTATCTTCTGACAATACAAGCTCTGATGTTTAATTTTCCTTAACCATATTTATGCTTTTCTTAAAATATTGCAGATATGGCTGCCTAAACAGGGAATATAAGTATCTTTTCTGGATAGAAGTTTTGAATATTACCAGCACGTATTAGTCTCTATTGTATGCTACTACATACCTTCTTAGCTATCATGAATTCCTCTAATGTTTTGATTACTAGGCTATGTGTAAAGGCATTAAAAAGGGGGGGGGGGGATGACTTCAGAAATTTCTTTAAGACGGATGCAACGAATGTGAAAAAAATATAAAAGGACGATAACAACCCTTGACATTTCTTTCTTTCTTTTTTGAAAAACAACCCTTGATATTTTTGTTGCCAACCAGAGGTATATTATTATTTTTTATAAGAAAAGTTATTAAAAGACCTCTTAGAAAAGCTCCATTGGTTTCACTTTATGTATAAGTTCTGTACTATTCCAAAATTTCTTCATTGATTAATAATTTATACTACTCCACACAACAATTTGCTATGTATTGTTCTATTTTGCAATTTCTATTATTCTTATGCATGATATACGCTGTGCAATGTCAGTGAAAGCCTTGCTTACGTTCAAAACCAATTGATGGAAATTGGTACTTTTTTGTTGTCTCCTTTTGAACATGAATAATGCTAACTGAATTATTAATTTTTTGGTACACATGATCAAAACATTTTCCAAGAATAAATACACATCATGCCTATATATCTTAGGACAAAAATAATGTATGTGGAATGGTAGAACCATGTAACGCACTTGTGATGCTCAATAGGAAATTTATATATTCATGTTCCAAAAAGTTAAATGATACATTTTGCATTCTCCATTAAAAAAACGTCCTCCGATTTATATGAGAACATTCCTACTCATATTTTACTTTCAACTGGGTGTTGTTTTTGCTAAGTGGTTAGCATATAATTAGCATGAGTTTAGCTTAAGCACAAATGTCCTCTGCATTTCATATTGATCCATTTCACAATAACTTTATTTTATATGCAAAGAAAATTTCTCAACTTGTAGAGACCATATGCCGTCTTCTATAGTTATGCATTAGTTTGATTTCACGGTGACTTTTCTAATGATCTAGCCAATAGTTTATATCTAACATGATCAAATAATTGGAGCTATCTTGTGGCTATTGCAGGCTATACTTTTAGGTTTGGGTTGCAACCCTCGGTCACTGACAAAGCATATACCCAACCTGACATCCTCAAGAAATATCCCCATAATCTCCATCAAAGATAACAAAGGAGGCTCCATAAGGTTAGCTGAATTGCTGAACCTAAAAACAACTATGACTATTGGAGTAAAGGTTAAGTTCAAAACTAATTTTTTTATATTCCTTTGGTTCATACACATAATAGAGTTGGTTTATTAAGTTTGCATCGATTCGTCTATTGTTCTATAGCTCAAAGGAAGCAATATAAACATAACAGTAAATCAACATATCTGATGCATTTGTTAGTGTAGATGGGGGAAGCCACATGTCCGCTACGTAACTGGTGTAATTTATCAAAATTTGATTCTTGGATATGTAAGAGGAAATCTATGTGCATTTCTGCATTCATGACTTGTTTTAAACTTTATACACCATTCCTAGATGTTGCGGAGGAGATCAAGCATATGTTAATAAATTTTTTGATTTACTAGTTTATAAGTGCAAGCCCCTATTGGCCGAAGAACAACACATAATTGCAAGTCTGTTTGTCTTTTTACCGTTTCTTTATGTTAGTAACATGTATCTCTTGGACATATCATATAAAAGGCTGGTCCTGGTTGATCATAATATCATATAGTATCTATATATGAGAAATTGCATGAAACAGTTGTGCATTTTTATTTCATTGCTTCTATATGTCTATATTATACCTTTTTTCAATAGAAAAGTAGTATTTAATCATTTAATAAATCCAAATTATCACATTGATTTTAAGAAATAGAATTAGCACAAATCAAAGATGACATCACCATTATCTAATATATCATCACAAAAAAACTAAGTTATATATTGTTAACAATCAAGCCAAAAGCACAAACGCGACATGTTTTAAACAAAACATAGAAAGTAGTTTTTAATAAATTAAACAAAACATAAAGACTCATATCAATCAATCATGCTCCTTTAACATATTCAACTATCCTAAAACAACTAAATCATCCTCTTCTAGAACGATATTTGCATCCTCCAGATCGGCATAATCCTTGATGCCTACAACTTTTGCGGCAATTCCTATTCCTTTTCCTTTTTGCATTGTGGGTGCTGCAGAAAGTACTTCAATTAAAATCTTGAAGATTCAACCTAACAAATATAGCATCAAAAGGTTTTTTAAGTAGCTCACAAGAACCATCAACTCGTTGTTTCTTTACTGCTAAAGTACCATCCTTATCTTCATTTTCGATACCTATATTATTAATGACAGCAACATCAAGATACTCCTTATCTCCATCATCACCATCTGACCAATTCGGATCATCTGGAGAACAAGGTTCTTCATCCTCTACTATCCACTCATTATTTGAAGATACCTCCATCATTCCCGCCTTCGCATATTTCTCTCTCTCAATTTAATGTTGTGCATGACATAAACAAGAGAGTTAAGGCGTTTCTGCTCTAGACGACATCTCTTATTTGAGTGGAGCTTTAAGAAAAAATAACAACTTGTAAGCTTCCAAGCCTAAGGTATTAAGCTAACTTTTAAACTCAAAAATTTCCTTACTTGCTCAAACTTGCTCTAGTTGTGCTCACATCTGGATCCACTAGTAGTAAGGGAGAGAACACGAACAACAAATCGTTGTAGTTTGGGAGTGTCCTCACCAAATCTCTCATACTAAGAAGCTACACATTTAGATATCAAAGATTAACATAACAAAACATCAAAATTGTACATCACATATCAAATTAAAAATTGTTGAAACCAAAACCTGGACTATGAAAAGCAATAGTCCTCTGGGCTGACTCAGACCCGACAACTGCTTCTCGGCTCTGCTACCAGTTGTTGGGGATTCAAACTACTCGACCAACCTGTCAAAAATGAACCCTCCTGCGGAATTTGTCTTACCGGATCTTGTGTTAAGACAATGGAAAAAAGAAATCTCATCAAATAAAATTGCAAAGAAAAAGAACATCGGGTTTTAACGAGGTTTGATAACTTGTCTACGTCCTCGGGAGCTACACAAATAATTTCCTTTATATCAAAGAAGATTACAAAGCTTGCAAAGAGTAGATCTCAAACTTGAGATTTCTCAAAAGAAATAACCAACAGAAACTCTCTGTTGTTCGAATAAGGCACGTGATTTTCCAACTTGGAAAATCACTTCTCAATCCGCTGAAAAATCGATACAGGGATCGGAAATTTTCTTCTGAAAATTTCCGGTATAGGAGCTCCTCTAAGAAATCGCCGCCAGACGTTTTTCTTTCTGCTCAAGAAGAAGAACACATCTCCTTGCGATATGGGTTTCTCTTAAATAGGGAAACCCTAGGTCCAGAGCGAGTGGATTCCAGCTGGATCCAACACAGTCGAGCTCCATGCTAGGCGAGCTCACGCCAGGACCTTGCCTGCACTAGCCTACAGGTGAGCTCATTGCCAAAACCTCGCTTGCCACGCTGTTCGACCTCGCCTGCAGGGCCTCCGCTCGAGCTCGCCTGACCCCGCATGGATCTCGACTCGCTCAAGCTCGCCTTGCCTTCGCGCTCGCCTGAAAGTTACCGTTCGAGCTCGCCAACACTCCGTCGACCCCGCCTGCAAGATCTCGCCTGGATCTCACGTCGACCTCGCCCGAGGGAGCTCGACCTCGCCTGAAATCGTCGTTGAGGTTTGGATCTGCACCCATTTTTCAACACTCTCCAATCTTCTCCTTGTAAGAACCCAATCTCTCGTTGATCTCCCCGTGGATTGTGCACGCTTCCGTCGGGGCGCAACATAATTGACAAATTGTAACTGAATGGTTGGTGTAACTGATTGAATAAGAAGGGTGATTGCCTTATGTTTGTTTGTTGTGCAAGCTTGAAGAGCTTTGTTTGTGGATGCCTGTAGTTTTGTCAGAGGAGGCACATAAGATCCATTGACATGTCTCCGAAGACCTCTGCTCAAGAGGTGAAACTTGAGGGTGAACGCCCATACACCATAGTTTGGTCCTTCAAGTTTGATGCCAATCAATTTAGGGGCTTAAAAGAGGCGTGTTTTTGTGAAATTTCTCCCGACACATATCAAAATCACTTCAAAGGAGAACAACTGTTACGTAAAAATGTCATATCCAAGAGTTCTCGTCATAAAGTTGTACCGGCTCAACCAAGTCCGAGTTTGATGACTTCACACGCCCTCAAGGGGAATTTAGAGCTTGCAACTTGCTAGTTTAAGCAAATTACCAATGTGATTGCAGTTGCAAATGAACAACTTGTCATAGCATGCACAGTCACGAAACGACATTTAAAAAAAAAATTAAGTCCAAAAGTATGGATTTCAAATTTCACCACAGTAGTTGGTATTTGTCAAATCCTCACCCCCACAAAATCCCAACCCCTCAAAACCCCGACTCTTTTTTCCTCTCTCACGTTCGTGTCGAAGTCCTGACTCCTCAAAATCTCGATCTCGATCTCGATCCATCGCAGGTAGTCTCTTCCTCCTCTCTCTCTCTCTCTCTCTCTCTCTCTATTCCTCTCTCTCTACTGTCTCCTCTCGCTTCCCCTCCATTGAAACCGTAGATCTGAGCTAGGGTTTTGGTCGTGATCGTCATGGCTAAAACCCTAGATCAGAGCTAGTACTGTCGGCGTGACCCCATTTATGGTGGTTTGTGTCATCAGAAAGTTATTTTACCAAAAAATTCTAATTTTTTGATGATTTCATTATGGATATGTAGTAGGGGGTGGTGATTTTGATGGATTCTTAGCTATTCGGTTTTTTGATGATAAGTGGGATAAATGGAAATCCTAGAATAGGCTAAAAATTCCAATTCAAATAATTAGCACAGTTGGTAAGTAATCAATGTAATTGCTAATTGAAAAACAAAAAGGTTACTGTTTAGTGAATGCCTTTGATGTGTGAACTCCATGACTTCTATGAACACCTGAGCACTTGATACAAATGAATACTCCCAGACTTGATGACATGATTTTAGCCATTTGGTTATTTGATGTGGAGCATAAAACACCAACTTACAAATAAATTGTGTTCTCTGACATGATTTTGGATTTCCAAATTCTCAGGTATAATGGAAAAAATGACATCATATAAAGAACATGAATAGTGAAATATTATCATCTTCAAAGTAGATATACTTTGCTTTTATGTATATTTATTATCTTCTCTATACTGGTACTAATGCAAAAAGTTCACTAGTAGCAATGTTTCCCTACATGTTTACGTACATATTTGCACAATGAAATTCTTCATCCAAGCAGAAAATATGGAACTTTGCAACATCGTAAGTTGTTGCTTGTTATGGGTTTTGGTTTCCTGAACTGGTGAAATCTATATGCAAAATTCTTAGGTTAATGTTGGTTATAACATGATCGACGAAATCCATATTGAGACGTTCTCTAGATCTTTGGTTGCTGAACTGATCATATTTATATGTCAAACTCCTGGATGAGCCTTTTCCTGTGGATATGATCATCAGCAAAGGCCAGCAAGCATCCTTAAGACTAGTGTTCAACGTTGTAAGCTCCATGATGTAGTTTTGTGCTCAGGTCCCCTTTTTGTTGATTAGATAGGTCTGAATGTTAAATTAATGAAACAAAATCAGTAAAACATCAGCTAATGCCCTTTTTCAAATTAAGGTTTCCTTATTATTTTATACTTTTTTTATTGGGTTTATTATTATCTGAAGGAAGGCTTTTACATTTTATTCTCATATGTTTTTCTTTTTTGGGTGGATTACCAGAGTATCGCCCAAGAGAGCCTTCACCATTAGTGAATATATATAAAAACCTTTCTTATATTTGCCCACTCTACATTCTTTTCCTTTCCTTTTTTTGGTTTTGTTTTGTTTTGGAAATGATGATGAAGTGGGCTGTAAATATTTACATAAATGAGGGACAAGTTTCACTGTGGTGCATTATTTTACTGCCGTTGGCTGAACATGCACATGTGCGTCTCGTTGTAGCATAATGCCCTATGAAAAGTGTTCATTTTTCAAACTATGTTTGATTTAGATAGCTCATCATCCTGAAGTTCAGTGATAGCGAGTATACATTTGGTAGCAGCTTGGTTTATCTTGTTTTGGGAAAGAGGTAATTGTTCATGTGCTAGCTCCTTTGATTGCTCCTAGCATGGTTGCACATATTCTTGGTTTTTTATCAAGTTGGCATGTATGTAAATTTTATTATGCAGATTTTGCTGCTGCAGTTGCAGTGAAACTCTTTTGATGGGAAACTCATTTTTATTGTTGCTTTATGCAATGTATATATTGCACATGCTAATGTGCTACTTTTTTATGACTGGACTGAGTATTCAACTGGAACAACCTGTTACCAATTGCTCTTGTGTGGCATTATAACTTTTTTATGACTGGACTGAGTATTCAACTGGAACAACCTGTTACCAATTGCTCTTGTGTGGCATTATAATGTAAGTAGAGGAAGGTCACTCTTTCAACTGGAACAACCTGTTACCAATTGCTCTTGTGTGGCATTATAATGTAAGTAGAGGAAGGTCACTCTTAGCACCACACTGTAGGCTGTATAGTAAAAATTACAAACTAAATGATTTTATTTCTCTAGCTATCAACTGCAGTTATCCATTTTACTTCCAAAATCAACTACTGTGAGTGATTGGAGCTAAATATGCTTACAAATCTTTAGCTGATTATGATAATTGTTATTAGAGGTAATTTTATTTTCCTCTTAAGAATACATGTCTCATATATCAATTAGCACCGAATCTTATGTATTTGGTAGTTCTGTATGGTACATCCTTGCCTAATCTCATTTTACATTTGCATTAATCAATTTTCTTCATGAAAGGTTTCAGTCTATGCATTGAGATAGTTTCTTGTTAGACGACGAGACTTGTCAAATCTTTGAACAAGTGCTATGATATATGTTGTTTAGCTGTCTTGAGTAGCATATGCTTTTTCTCATGCATTTTTCTTTATAAAACTAGTACCCTGCATGCATATTTTGTGTTCCACCACTTGCTTCAAGTTTCTAAACTTTATCATTTTCGTTATTATGATATGTTCAACATTAAAAACTATCCTGATCATCTTGATTGGATTTTAGCATGGTTTTAATTCATTAGATAATGCTGTCTATCGATTTTTGTGTCATTGACTAATTGATGCTAAATTGTGTAATGTAGGACTCAATAAATTCTTCTGTCTATCGATTTTTGTGTCATTGACTAATTGATGCTAAATTGTGTAATGTAGGACTCAATAAATTCTTCGAGACATGAAGTTGGACACATTGGAGAGAATAGGACTCAATAAATTCTTCGAGACATGAAGTTGGACACATTGGAGAGAAAGGAGGAGAAGACTTGAAGCATAAATAGAGGATTCTACATATGGTTTCTTTTAATAGTTTATGATGTGATAATTTGGCTTGTTGTAGCAAATCATGGTTACTTGTTGTAGCAAATTATGGTTATAAACTATCTATATCATGTTGTATTTTAAATGAAGGCTTATTGTGTAGCCTAGAGCTTCTTATAAGAATTTTACACGAGATTATCAATAATTGGTTAGCTAGTCCTAGTGCACCAAACACTTTTTCTTTCTTATGGATGACTTCCTTGGCTTTCACATTGCAGGGTCTGCTTTTATCAAAAAGTTGTAAGAGCTGTAAGACATATTTTGTTTTGATATGAAGTGGGTATTAATAACCCAAGAATATCAGTTATACAAGAAAGGATTATATACTTCCTATAATAAGATACCTAAACCATATCAGCTATACAAGAAAGGAATTATATACTTCCTATAATAAGATACCTAAACCATATCAGCTATACAATAAAGGAATTATATACTTCCTATACAGAGAGAAAGATACAAAAAGGAAGTAAGGAATCTGATTAATTATTCTTAACAAAAGTTAAATTTAATGGTGTTCTCTCTAAATCACGCACTTGTTCCGCACGAAAGCTAATTCAAAGTAACTTATATGAATTAGGGGGGGACTAAATAACGATTTTGAAAGTAACTTATATGAACTAGGGGGGGACTAAATAACGATTTTGATGATTTGGAAGACTAATACATATTTTCATTCCTCTAATTTTTTGCCCTTTATTTTACTTTTGACCCAACATTATAGTCGCAAAATTAATTAAAAATAAAGGGTAAAAAAGCCAGCAGCTCATAATTAATTCACAAGCCGCTGAAAAAAATGGGTTTGAAATAATTCAATCGGCTCTTTCCAGTAGTAGCTAGGCTTAAAGCTATTGGAGGTCAAACGTTGGGTTTAGACAAAACCCAAAAAAATAAGTCCCCAAGTTGATAATCAACGTCTCAATTTCACTTCCACACTGCAAATAAATGTGGGACAGATAGGGTTTATCATGAAAATTCCGCGTGTAGATGTAAGTCCTCATTTCTTGACTAATTTAGGAGTCCTAATGAGTTCTCTGTGATTAACTGTATTTAAATTCATGAATAAAAGTTATTACTTTATGATATATGATGAATATATATTTAAATCAAAATTTTCATTAGAAAACATATTTAAGATTATTTAAGTCTTAAACTTAGTACATAAAACTTAAATTGAAATGGTAAGTGGGTTAAACATATGACATCATATGTGCAATAATAAACTTAGTACATAAAACTTAAATTGAAATGGTAAGTGGGTTAAACATATGACATCATATGTGCAATAATACAAATAATAACTTAAATTGAAATGGTAAGTGGGTTAAACATATGACATCATATGTGCAATAATACAAATAATAAGTGCCCAAATTTTAAATGAATATTTGATAGACAAACAAATCGAATATACATGTGGTTAAATTCTAAAAAATATTTGTTTAGTGGCAAATGAACTATCAAATCGAATATGACCAAATAGTTAGTCGAACAATTATTGAACTATTTCTTAATTATTTGGTTCATTTCCACCCCTAGTGCTAAATATAAATGCTGATAGTGATACTAATCTTTCGAGATTTATGCCTCAAATACTAGATCAAGACCATCTTAATCTTGAAGCAACTCAATAACTTTACTATTAGATCATTATCCTAATTTCGCTTATCGTATGCTTTTCTCGTATGGACTTCAATTGGAATACATCCCATACGTACGTTAAACTGGTAGTTAAACAATTTGGGGAAAAAAATAATTGCAGTGTTAATTCAATATTCTCCATTTTGAACGTTAAACTTTGTAGGCTGTTTCCATTAACCTTTGTTTTAATCAATACCTTGTCAGGTTTGTAAACAGGAACAGCAACTATCAAAACTATGCTTCACACGTAGTTGGAATTATGACTCGTACGCTTGTACACAATCACATGGCTCAGTATGAACCCTCATCATCAAGTTTGAAAATTCTGAAGGCAACTATTAATCCAAGCAAAGTTCAATAATCTGTTTCCAAGCCCCACCAGTTTATTCTGTTATTATTCATCCTCTCAATTTCGCCTGCAAACCGCAACTTAATGTTGGTGGGGTGGGTGCGGAGTGGGGTTTATCATAATAATTCGGAGTGTGGATATAATTCCCCCATTACTTAAGTAATGCAGGAGAACCAAGGAGTCCTCTGCAACTCTCTGCAATCGAAGCTTGAAAGCAAAAGTGAAGAGTGTTCGATACTCATAAAAAATATGGTGGTGGTCGTAGACGTGATTGTGGAAAAGATCCTCGAGAAGTTGGTGAAGATCGGGTTCGAGTATGCAGTGTTGTGACTGATGCTTTGAGAAACCAAACCAACGAACGCCGAGAGAAAGACCAAACAAAACACAAACACCAAGGTTTTACGTGGTTCGGCAAATTGCCTACGTCCACGGGGCAAGAAGGGGGTGGGTTTTCACTAATAGAGAAGGAGAGTACAAATTGAGATTACAAATCGCTCAAACGAACCAACTAATCTCACCAACAAATCTCTCAATCTCTCAACCAATAACCCTAACAAATAGCTCAGAAAGATCTCTCTTTTTCTGTGCTCCAAAACCCCAAAACTCACCTTACAAAACCCTCAAATCGTATTGGTATTTATACCAAAACAGAAACCCAAACAGACTGCAAATAGGAATTCTAACTTTCCAAAAAACCCGTCATAAGTCGACTTATCAGTCTGCATAAGTCGACTTGGCAGAGCGAAAAACAGCAACTGGAGAAGAGATCATAAGTCGACTTATCAGACCTGATAAGTCGACTTGGCAGAGCGAAAAACCAACAATCCAGAGCAGAACGTAAGTCGACTCATGCACCAACATAAGTCGACTTACCATAAGTCGACTTATGCCTGTGCATGAGTCGACTTATGACCAAAAATCTGCTTTTTCCAATTCTTCTCCACAATTCTCCACCTCGGCGAAGTTTTCCCAAAACTGAGCCGACACCAACCAAACAAATGCCTCACATGCTGAGACCCAAATGAGAGTGCGAACACTCACCCCAAATGTCGATGTCGCTCACCAAATCGGCTGCATCAAAATGACTGCCTACGTATCCTTTGCCCAAGGAATCAAGCCTTCACGTAGTTCACCCAAACGGCCTCCAAAGGCCCTCAATCAAATAGAAAAGTCTGCAACTCTTCTCCAATATCACCAAACGATCTGCAACTGATAGTATTCCCAATGACCCCAAATTGAGACAAATCAAACACCTCCACCTGAGGTAAACCAATGGCCATATCCAAACTATATCTACCAGCTGCAACTGAATCCAAAACCAATCCATCATCTGCATCCAAAACCAAATGATCTCCAACCTGTGTCACCTTAGCTGGAATCCCAAATGACGCAGTATGATCTGGAGTATGTGGAGTAATCTCCACCCAACGTGGAGTAGCATCACTCTCCACCTGCTGCGATATCCAAATGACCTGATCAACACTCTCCACCTGCCGAGAGTCAAAAGTGACATACCTGCTCAGAACAAAATCAGAAGCTCCCAAACGATAATCAACTGAGCCTCCGAACCCCAAACGCGCAATCGGATCCAATCTCACATCCACGATGTGACCAAATGCTGGGTATCCAAATATCCGACGCGACCCAAAATCTGAAGCAGCTCCACCAGATCTAATAACTCCTAAAGCAGCAGTCGGCGACCTATGCATAAGATGACCCAAATATGTCGAAGCCCGCACACCAATGCCAATGCTCGACATCAAACGCCGATCCTCCTCCAGAAAGGAACGACCCATCGAAACTGTCATCTCATCTCGTCGCCCCAAAGTCTCCACACCAATGAAGTGTCTCCTATTGCCGTGAGCTCGGCACCAACGCAAGAAAGGACCCCTACCAAAGCTGAAACAATGAGTTACCTTTCTGCCAATACACTTCTTCCAATTGTTGTTGACTTCTAGGACTTTACACCAACGGGAACTGGTCGCGACCCAATAATGCCTAGAACAATCACCAACTGTGGAAACCAAGATACGATTACCTCCCAATGATGCCTCCTTGGAAGGCCCCCAAATGCCTGACTGAACACCTCCAAAAAGACCCCTCGCTCGATGGATAGAAGTGCCAAACTCCACCACGGTCTCGCTCATCCTAATGTGCTCACAGGACTTCAATCTGCAGGTCATAGCACTCCTCAACAACCAATGCACGGTATTACCAATCATATACCCCAGCACCAAACAATGCCACAGTCTAGCCGAATCTGATGAAGTCGTCATTTCCCTATCAATCACCGTGCTTCCGTGCAAATAATACAAATTTCTTCTTCTGACGCCCTTCATCACAATCATGGACCCAAATGTAACCTTCAAGCGTGCATCCGCCAAGGTCACCCTATAGCCAGCTGCCTCCAAAGCTCCAAGTGAAATGATGTTCTTCTTCAACTGAGGAACGAACCTCACTCCAACCAACTCCCGAATCACCCCGTCACTCATCCTGATCCGAACAGTACCAATACCACCAATAGAGCATTTGTGATCATTCCCCATGAGCACGAAATCCCCTCTTTCCAACTCCTGAAAGCTGGAGAACCAATCCCTCCTAGGGCAAATGTGGTATGTAGCACCCGAATCCAATATCCACTCTGTAGAGTAGGCAACACAAACTGACGGCAGTGCAGATAACGAGTAGCCCGAAGAATCCGAATCTGAATCGTTGCCACTAGCCTTGACAACATTCGCCTCTGAAGCTTGAATAGCTTTTCCCTTATTCTTCCCGGCTCGATCAACTAACTTTGGGCAATCGGCTTTCCAATGTCCATCTTCTTTGCAAAAGGCACATTGATTCTTACGAACTCCAAGATGTGCCCCTCTAGACTGCGACCTCCCACTACGGTTTGGACCCTTTGCTCTTGCGACCAACGCCCCCGCTACCGGCTCAAACGAAGTCTCCTTATCCTTCTTTCGAAGCTGATAATTCACAAGTGCAGCGGTGACCTCACTATACGAAAGAGATGCCTTCCCATTAATAAGAGTAAGAACGAAGGTCTCATATTCCTCGTCAGGCAAGGAACTCAATAGCAACAACGCCTTGTCCTCATCTTCAATCTTAACATCCACATTCGCCAAATCCGCAAGAAGCTTCGTGTAGTGGTTCATGTGATCACCAATGGAGGTTCCTTTCTTCAACTGGAAGCGGTAAAGCCTCCTCTTCAAATGCAAGCGATTCTCCACACTCTTGGTCAAATACTTGCTCTCAAGGATCTCCCAAATCTTCTTTGCAGAAGTCTCATTGATCACATCATACTTTAGATCTTGAGTGAGACAAGACCTAATCACACCACACGCCGTTCGATTCATCTTTTTCCAAACCTTCTCATCAATGTTGTCCGGTTTCCCGTCCAACTCCAACGTATCTTCCAAATTTTGCGCGTTGAGCGCATCCATGACTTCGCATCGCCAAAGTCCAAAATTGTTTGTGCCATTGAACTTTTCCACATCAATCTTCATTGAGTGGATATTCAAGCTTTGGACGGTCTTCACGCCGGAAGTACTGCCCACAACTCCTTCTTTCTCGGCCATAATCCTCAAGGCACCACCAAACCAATGCGGAAACAAACGAGAAATAGATCCAAACTGAAAAAGACGAGATTTTTACAAAAAAAGATCCCACCTTTATCACCAAACGAAGCCCTAGATGAACTTCCAAAGCGATCTACTCCTCCAAAATAGCCCAAGCGTAGCCCGAGCTCTGATACCACTTGTTGTGACTGATGCTTTGAGAAACCAAACCAAAGAACGCCGAGAGAAAGACTAAACAAAACACAAACACCAAGGTTTTACGTGGTTCGGCAAATTGCCTACGTCCACGGGGCAAGAAGGGGGTGGGTTTTCACTAATAGAGAAGGAGAGTACAAATTGAGATTACAAATCGCTCAAACGAACCAACTAATCTCACCAACAAATCTCTCAATCTCTCAACCAATAACCCTAACAAATAGCTCAGAAAGATCTCTCTTTTTCTGTGCTCCAAAACCCCAAAACTCACCTTACAAAACCCTCAAATCGTATTGGTATTTATACCAAAACAGAAACCCAAACAGACTGCAAATAGGAATTCTAACTTTCCAAAAAACCCGTCATAAGTCGACTTATCAGTCTGCATAAGTCGACTTGGCAGAGCGAAAAACAGCAACTGGAGAAGAGATCATAAGTCGACTTATCAGACCTGATAAGTCGACTTGGCAGAGCAAAAAACCAACAATCCAGAGCAGAACGTAAGTCGACTCATGCACCAACATAAGTCGACTTACCATAAGTCGACTTATGCCTGTGCATGAGTCGACTTATGACCAAAAATCTGCTTTTTCCAATTCTTCTCCACATGCAGCAGATCGGTATTTTGCTCGGGATACTCGGATGAAAGATGAGCTTCAAAGGCTCAATGATGCCGTTCCTCGTATCCTAGCTGTTGTGGAGATGGCTGAGAGCGGGCAGCAAGAAATTACTGGAGCACTCAAGAAATGGCTGTGGCAACTAAAAGATGCGTTGGATGAGGCTGAGAACGTACTTGATGAGCTTGATTACCTTAAGCTACAGAAACAAGTTGAGGGGAAAGCCTCAGAACATGAGAAAGCCTCAGGCAGCAAAGAACATGGTTATAGTGGTAAGTGATGGCTTTTTAAATGTCAAAAAAAAAAAAAAGAAATTTCGCCTTCTTGTTATCAGTTTTTTTATTTCATAACTGAAAGGTTAGCAATCAGATGCTAAAAAATAATTGATTGTTTTTCGAATTTAATCAGTAAAAGACAAATGAACTTCCCTACCAATTTCGCGTGCAGGCAGGGGTAAAGTGCGTGGTTTTCTCTCCGAGTCTACACGGAAAGTTGGCGAAGCCTTCAAATCTGATCCCACCCTCGAGAGACTGAGGGGGGCTGTGAAAAGGCTAGATGAAGTCGCGGCGGGCGTGGGAGATTTCATCTCTACACTACAACTACTAGAATTCCAACGACTGCATCAACAACATCAAACTCAGAGCACAGTTCCCGATAGTGAAACTGGATCAGGTCCAACTGAGATCCGGGTTCCTGATCGTAATGCTGGACCAGATCTAACTGAGGGAAAAGTGTTTGGACGAGATGAAGAGAGGGAGGAACTGTTAGAGTGGTTGAAAAAGGATGAGAGCAGTACAAGTGTATCTCTTTTTTCCATTATTGGCCTTGGAGGAGTGGGCAAGACCACCCTCACACAACTCGTCTATAAGGACGACAGCTTAACTAATTCCTTCGATCACAAGATCTGGGTGACTGTCTCCACTCACTTTGATGTCGAAAAGGTCATGGCAGATATAATAGAATTCGCCGAGACAAAGAGACCTAAAGTCACAGAACTTCCCGCTCTGCAAAAAGCTCTTAAGAAACTGGCATCGTCCGGGAAATTTCTCCTTGTCTTGGATGACGCATGGAATGGTGACAATCGTTCTGGGTGGGGTAAATTGTTTGCTCCTTTGACGAGCGGCCATAAAGGAAGCAAAATCTTGTTAACTACTAGAAGTGTGACAGTTGCAAAAATGGCTGCATCGGCTTTGGGGGCTTTGGGGGGATCAAGAAATGAGCCAATGAAACTAAAACCTTTAGATGATGACAAGTTCCTATCACTTTTCAACCAATATGCATTTGCTGGTGTAGACTCTTGTGATTATAGGAAGTTGGAATCCATTGGCAAGAAAATAGCAAGAAGGCTCGGGGGCTTACCATTGGCTGCAAAGACGATTGGGGCGCTATTGAATACTGAGTTAGATGATCGTCATTGGAACGGAATTTTGCATGCGGACAATATATCCGATCAAGCACAGAAGAGGGATGGTGTGATGACAGTTTTGATGTTAAGCTACCATCATTTACCAATGCACTTAAGACCATGTTTTGCTTATTGCAGCATTTTCCCTCAAGATTATGAGTTCAATAAAGATGATCTAGTCTTCATGTGGATGGCTCTTGGCCTCATTCAAAAATCTTCCCACCAGACACTGGAGGACACCGGAAGGGGCTACTTCGACTATTTAGTGAAACTATCATTACTCGAACAACTTCAATACAGCGACGGCTACAACATGCATGATCTTTTGCATGATCTAGCACGTAAAGTGTCTGATGGTGATTGCTTTAGATTTGTCGGAGACATGTCAATTGACAAGATCCCGAATACGGTACGTCATCTACATTTTGAAACCGACAAACTTGACCTTCTTAAAGATGTGGGCAAATGGAAGAATCTCCGCACGCTTGTGTTAGTCTTCAGAGGATATGTTAATGAGCATGCTAAGGCTTTTGAAGACGCGTTTAAGTCACTGGAAAGCATTCGGGTGCTGCGCCTAGATGTTGACGGCATGAACGTATTGCCAGAGGCAATTGGTAACCTGAGGCATATTAGATATTTGTCGATTTGTCATCAGATTTCTCGGTTACCTAGTTCATTCTGTAGGCTCTACCAACTGCAGGTCCTTGTCTGTCGTCATGATAGTACTGCTACTGAGACTGTTCTTGGCTTGAATAATCTTATTAGTTTGAGACACTTGATACCATGTGGAGCTTACTATGAAAAAATCGAGGGGATCGGGTCATTAACTTCACTTCAAGGTTTGTCGTTCGCTGCTGAAGCCTACAAATTGAGCGAATTGAAGGAGATGAGAGATTTGCGGGAACTGAAGATCCGTGGCCTTGAGAGTCACAATCATCACGAGGAAGTCAGTACTATCGAGTTGCATCGTAAAAAGAACCTCCTCAAGTTAGAGCTGGTTCGGTTTGATGACAGTGATGTGGCCGATGAGTATGAACAGATGTTTGATCGCCTGCAGCCACCTGATGGCCTCAGGGAACTGAAAATCAACGGATACCAAGGCGCCAGGTCTCCATGTTGGATGGACCCAGACCTATTAATAAATCTGGAGCGCGTGAGCCTTGAATGTGGCAGGGCATGGAAGCACCTTCCTTCTCTCGGGAAGCTCCCGTACCTCACGCGTTTGACATTGTCGGCACTGCCATCCCTTCAGCAAATTAACTGTGAAGGTGGCTTTCAACAACTAAAGCAGTTATCTATTTATGATTGTGAGCAATGGGAGGAGTGGTGTGGATTAGAAGCAGAGGCGGTACCCTGGTGCCCTCTCCTCAAGGAACTTGTCATCAGGAAGTGTCCCAGACTGAAGGCGCTGCCCCCCCTGCCCCTCGGTCTCCAATCATTGGAGTTGGAAGACGTGGGATTGTCTGATTCCCCGACGTTCTGGGTGGGCAGCAGCTGCGGTGAGCTCTTCGTCCGCGTCCTCTCCCTCCCTCTCTGATTTGATGATAAAAAAGTGTGGAGAGCTGACATCCGTGGCTGCAGGCTTGTTCCGACATCATCTCACGTCTCTCAGGGCGTTGTGGATTGAGAATTGCCCTAAGCTGAGGATGTCTCCTGACACAGTTACCCCAGTTGATTGTTTCGCTCTCCCATCACTCCGATCCCTTTGGCTTGTTGATTGTGGTGGATCTGACGGTCTCACTCCTGCGTTATTAATGCAAGGTTCCCTCACTTCTCTTTTAGCCCTTGCATTACGTGGAGCTAACCACATAACAGCCTTTCCCTTCGAAGTGGAGTGTAGAAGATTTACTTCACTGAGGGTGTTGAGACTGACAGGGTGTGATGAGCTGGCATCAGTGGAGTGTCCCAAGCTTGTGCAAGCAGCTGCAGCGGCAACTCCAGCATCAATAATCAAGCGGGAAGAGGAGCAGGGGTTCACATCGACTGTTGAAGAACTTGAAATCGATGACCCGTTCCTGCTCCACGTAGAGCCATTGAGAAAACTCACGTCTGTCAGGCGGCTAGAAATAGGAGATGGTAGTCATCTGGAGGCTGCTCTCGCGGAGCCATGGCTGTTGCAGAATTCAACTTCTCTGCGAAGTCTCTATCTGTGGGGTAAAGCAAAGATCTTGCCTTCTAGCCTCCAAACACTCTCCTCCCTCGAGTACTTGACACTTGGTGAAGCTTGTGATCTCCAATCGCTGCCACAACTACCTCTCTCTCTGCGAACGCTGATGATCGGGGGCTGCAACGAGACGCTGAAGGAGCGATGCCGGGAGAATGAAGGTGCTGATTGGCCCAACATCCAAACACATCCTCGCATCTATCCTTGAATAGCCGCGTTCAAGTAAATCTCTCTTCCTCATCTGATGTTGTATCTTTGCTGTTCAAAGGTCGCATATAGCCAATGATTCGCTCTAGTCATGGCATTTTTATGGATAGCTTTGTAATATCCCCAATTTCCTGTTGGTAATAAGTCTATATCAGAAATATTAAGTTAGAAAAGGACTTCTATGCAAAGAAAGAAAATAATAAATAACTATAGCAATTGTTATGGGGCTTGCTGCAATTAGATATTTGTTAAGGAGATATGAATAAATGAAGGGGTCTCCATTTGTTTAGGGTTTGCGGACTTTTATGATTCTAGGTGTTTGGATTAATTTGTCATAAATGATTAAAAAAATATCAATTGGTGAGGGGACTCGTGCGAGTTGCTACATGTTTAACAACAAATGACATTAATTGTTTGAGTGACTTTTATGGTTAACATTTATATATTTAGCAGTGGTGACTGATCTATAGTAGAAGTAATAATCGCTTGTATTTATTCTCTAGTTATTACTAGAGACTACGAAATATCATTGTGAGAGGGATTCGGGTACTCGTCCGGTGTTCTGTAAGTGGGGGATTTATACGTTACGCATTGCGTATTTTTTATCTAAAAGTTATCCTAAACATTTGTGAATTATTTCCTCAATGGATTATATCCTTTTGTATTATTTGCTCACATAGCACTTGTTGTTTGGATCGTATTTTGAGATGCACGCGGATATTTTAGTATAAATCATGCTTATTTTCTTTGTTGATAGTCAAGTCTCTTTTATATAGTAGTAGATTGAGATAAATATGTGGTTGATTTTTATTATTGGGTGGTCTTTATCATTTTTCTTTCTGAAATACTTGTTTATATAAAGTTTGTTCATTTTTTTGAAAACATATGCATCTCAATGTCAATATACCGGTTTATAACGAAGATAAGTAAAGGCATTCCCCACATCAATTAATACGGCTCAATGTCAATATACCGGTTAATTTTTTTGAAAACATATGCATCTAAATACGGCTCAATGTGCCTCCATGGGATTTATTTTTGTTGCTAATTAATGCTTCTAGTTCTCAGGTCCCCTGGTGTGTTCCCTTCTCGTAAAAAGTTGCTGAAATGTCGAATACTAGCTAGCACAAGCAAATAAATTTGTTGTATAGGAAATTGGAAAGCAATTTGTCAGATAGTAAAGGCATTCCCCACATCAATTGAATCATACTCTATCTGTAACCTTTAGGTTGTATTTATCCAATTATAAATAAAGACAGTTGGCTATTCCCCACACACTATATTCAAATTGATGGTAATAAATATCAATTTAGTCCGAAAAGAATTTCTTTTCTCATATAAGTCCGAGAACAACTAATCATGCCTTGGATGCTTGTATCTAAGGAATGGTTAATTGAAAAGGCAGTTCAACTGTTCGATAAAATGCCCATGTGAAAATGTCCATCCAAAAATGGTAGCAGGGCTCAACCCAGTCGAGTTCGAGGTCTTCACACTAACAAAAGATACAAGCATCCAACGTATGATTAGTTGTTCTCTTTGATTTAAAAAGCTCTTTTAACTATTCAATACAATGTCCAGAAGAGATGTCATTAGATTTCTGAGCTGACTTGCCAACTAGAGTTCTCATACTACTAACTAGGGTTGGCAAATCGGTCAACCCGCCCGACCCGACCCATATAAAATTTTGACCTGACCTGTATAATATTGACCCGACCCGATCCATCAAATAATCGGGTCAACATGTTTATTAAACGAAATCGGGTCAACACGTTTATTAAACGAAATCGGGTCAACTCGTTTATTAAACGGGTTACCCATCCACCCAAGTGGTCCATTTAAGTATTTTATAATTTTCTTGTACATAACATAGAGTCCATCGCCAAAGTTTTTATGATCCTATTTATCATTCATATGTTTTGTTACTGTTTAGAAGTTTAGATATTTTCAGGGTGTTTTTGGAAAATTTGAATTAATTTTGAGTGTGTTTTTTGTTAATTTTAAAGGTTTAGGGTGTTGTTTGCAAATATCATTTTCTCAGTGGACTTTTCTAAATTATAAACTTTTATACCCTTTGTAAGTTTTGACTTTTCTGTTTTTTTAATTTGGAATTTTTAGGATATTTTTTTATAGGGGTTTTTATTTCTAGCCTCATTTGTTTACTCAACTTTACCTGTAAACCCAATCACTATTGCTTGTATCTTTAAACCCAATTAGCCTTTTCTATTTGTCTTTAACTCCAACTTTCAAAATACAATATTTGCATATGTGGGACCCCCTAATTTTTCCCTTATATTCCAATTATGTCCTTTCATTTTATCTCATGTGTCCTTCATTAAGTGAGTCCCTTCAAAAAAAATTTAAAAACTTAAACAAAATGAAGAGAGAGAGAGAGAGAGAGAGAGGAACGGGGTTGTTCCTCTGTTTCTCTCCCCTTAGGCGCGTGAGAGGAGAGAAATGAATGGAACCCATCGTTCCTCT